TTCGCGGGAAGCAGGGGAGGGGGCGGAGACTTTGGGGAGGGGGTGGAGTTGGGGCGGGGGCATGGGCGGGGCTGGGGGCGGGGGCGGGGCCCCGTGGAGTGTCCTCCATTTGGAGGCACAAAATATGGTAACCCTAGATAAGAGAACCCAGGCGTCCTGATTCCCAGTCCAGTGCCCTACCTCGCTGGAACCTGCTGCATCGCCCCCGACTCTGGCGACTGAGAGTTGAACCCAGTTGGCTGGTAGCCCTCGTCCCTGCTTTCCGGTGCTCGGCCTGTTGTCTTAGATTAAAGTTTCTCGCCCATGTTGAAAGCAGCTCCGCACGTTCCAATGATGCAGACCCAGAGAAGCGGCACTCACACAGAAAGCCCTAGAGGGAAAAGCAAAACGCCCACTGATGAACTGGCCTGGACAGACAGGATTGCAGGGGGAGCAGAGTGGATACTTTGGGAGCTGCTGGCATCTTGCTTGGCCCAAAAGGAGCACTGGGATGGGAAGTGGTGGGCTAAGGGGCTCGTCACCTCCACATCCCAGACCAATACAAGCTGTTCCCGTTGTCTGATGGGGTATCACTGGCCTGGGGAACGGAGCTGGTCGCCTCAGGTCACTTCCTAGGAGCCAGGCGTTTACAGCCCGGGTTACGCCACTCACTGGCAGTCCCGGCACCCCCGCAGGGTGAAGGCTGAGACACCTGGCCAGAGCGGAGCAGTGCGGGAACCGGTGGGTGGGTAGCACCGGAGGCAGGACTGTCTGAGCCAGCACTACGGCCACCTGCACCAAGTGGATGATGGGGAATGCACGTTGAGAGCCAGGAGAGCAGAGATGGGGGGAGCTTGACTCCCTTGGCTGCCCTCCCCCTCTCCTTCCCCACCCCCTCTGGTTCCTTGGGCCTGCTCGGCCTCCTCTTTGGAGCCCCTGCCTTCAGTCTGCCCTGGAGGGCACTCCACATGGCAGGCGAAAGATTGATTCCTCCCCGTTAAGCAATTGCCTCCTGGCAGCAGAGCAGCGGTCGATGGCTGTTGTGTTTGGAACGACGGGGGTGGGGAGCGGGCGCGTGGGCGGCAGGTAGGAAGGCCACTCGCTGCCAGCTCTTCGGTGGGTTCATGGCTGGGGCTCTCCAAGCTCCTGCCCTGCTCCCTGTTCTAGGCCTCGCATGCAATCTGTCCCATTTCTCCATTGGCATCTGGCCTCCGGCATGGGATCTCGCCGTCCCCGGCATTAACTGGGAAGCTCTTTGCAGGCTGCCCGCGCCCGGCTTTTGCCCTCGCGGTAGCGGGATTAGCGCTTGGCCGCATTACGCGTCCATTTAGGTTTTAGGAGGGGATTTGAACATCAGGCTTTTGCCTTTAATTCTTAAATGTTTAACCACTGGCTTCCAGAAATAAACTGAAAGGGACGGGGGGACTGCACTGAGCGGGGGCCGGGGGAGGGAACCCCTCCAGGTACAGTCATACCGAAGGAAGCCATCTAGATTCCCAGCTGGGAGGGGTCAGGGAGAGGCCAAACATTCCCATTGGGGCTCCAGGTTCCCCCCGGAGAAGGGGATCCGTGTCACTCACATGTGGCGTGTTTTGTTTAGTGTGTCCCGCAGGAAAGCCGCGGCTTCGTCCTCGGAAGATACCTCTGCCTGTGCAAGCCGGGCTTCTACGGCACAAGCAGGGCCTCCGGAGCTGGCCGGTCCGGTAGGTGGTAACCCTGCCCGGCCTACCCCAGCCGGAGCGTCTCCTCTGGGTGGCTGGGCGTGGCGCTTTCCTGGCGCTGCATCCACAATGCAGAGCCAAAGCTTGGTACTTGGCTCTTCTAGCGACCGGCCCCATAGCATGCGAGCACCTCCCCAACACCCCTCCCCCGTTTCCCAGCGGCGGAGCTGAAGCTAAGTGACTTGCCCAGGGCTGCGCAGAACGTCGGAGGCTGAGCAGGGAGCTGAAGCCTGGTCTCCCATAGCCACGGCCGGTGCTTTAACCACTGCACCCTCCTTCCTCTCTAGCTTCCCAGTTCTGCGACTCCACAGCGCCCCCCCGTCCCCCTCCATCTCCGAGAATTCTAAGCACCCGGCCTCTCCAAAGGGTTCCCTTCCTAGCTGCCGCAGATCCACCGTCTGGAAATGCATCCATGGGTTTGGACCCTTGGGGCTGATCTGTGCCCTGCTTTGCCTTAACCTTGCCCCGATCTCCCGCCCAGTACAGGAAAATACCCTTCATCGGCGGACAGGGATGGGTGGGACTGGAAATCACAGGGCCAAGATTAACCCTACTTGGTTGAGCCAGTTTATGTCACACCTTGAGTTAAACCAGTGGTTCCCAACCTTTTAACAACCTGTGAACCCTTTCCACTAAAATGTCAAGTCTCGCGAACCCCCTCCTAAAAATGAATATTTTCTCCTTTACCCGAGTATAAATGATAAAAGCAGTGATCTTGGAAAGATAAAATTGGTTTTTATGACATGCTTATTACACATATTTATTATTACAGTATTTTTATTACATTATGAAAAGGGCAACACTCTTCCAAGACCTCACTTTCATAGCTTGTATCACTTTGACTAAGCCTGTATAAGACAAGGCTCCTATGTTTCATTAAGGAGTATCAGATGTGAAACAGGAGGAAGGTATTTAAAAAGCCAACTCAAAGAGTTCCTCCTACACAAGCAGTCAGGTCTTGAGCAGTCCAGGCAAACAACGCACATTACAACGAAGCTTAAACTTGTTCTTCGTCATAATTTTAAAAACAAGACTAGCTGCCTATTTAATTTAAAAAAACAGCAAAAAATATCCACCTCCCTTTCCATTTCTTATAAGGAGTCTTGAAGTTGAAATCTCCTCAGTGTGATAGATCTGCTTGCTTTGATCTGTGTAGCTCTTGGAAGTCCAGGGGCTCCGGACTGCTGGCCCCGTGCTGCCCGGGGTCCCTAAGGACAGCTCTGGCCGCCCCTAGGGAATTTTTTCCCCGAGAACCCCCTGTAACATTTCCTGAACCCCAGTTTGGGAACCACTGAGTTCAACTGATGCAGCTCTGGCTGTAGACCAGGCCTTAGAGATGCCCTAGCGAGACAGAAGAGCGTCCCAGTGATGGCTCTGCACCTTGGGCTATCACCGATACCAGCGCAAAGAGGGTGCTACCTACGCTGCGCTGGTATAGAGGACGGTGTGTGGTGCGGGGCAGCAGAGAATCAGGCCCAGAGGCAGTGCTAGCCCATTGGGTGCCGTAAACAGGAATGTTTTTGCTCCCCCCACCCCGCAACACATAATAAAAAGCGAATAGGGGGCCCCCTTGAGCTGCTCGGGGCCATAAGCGATTGCTTAGTCTGCTTACCCCTAGCGCCGGCTCTGATCAGGCTCGGGACCGGTCACGTGAATCTGTTTTGTGGGAGGAGAGAAATCAAAGGCTGTGCAGAGTCGCGACGGCATTTTAACCTTCCCGCGCGCCTCCTCTTCACCCCTGCAGGCCCACAGGAAAGCTCATCCCAGTACGCAGGACAGTACGGAGCCGTGGACTCTGGGACCTTGCTCGAGTGCCGGCCCTGCAAGGAAGGATGCGTGACGTGCGTGGACGACACCCCGTGTTTGATCCAGGAGGATTGGTCCCTGCGGGCTGCCGTCCTCTCTTTCCAGGCCTTCTGCATGCTGGCCGTCTTTCTCAGCATGCTGGTCTCCTACCACTTTCGAATGAGCAAGGCAAGGCACGCGGCGGTCACCGAGGAATGCGCTTTTACTACGGGGACTTTCCTGCTACAGGGGACTCCAAAGAACCCGGTTCTCCCCTCTGCAGCACCTCGGGGCCATATCGTGGAGCCTCCGAGACCTGGCGCAAGTTCTCTGCAGTATCCTTGGAGAGAGAGGAAAGCAGGATGCTAAACCCGGCTCAGAGCCCACCTCACCCAGGGAAACATTTGCAGGGGTCCCTGGTTTTAGGTGCCTCCGTTTTCTGGAGCCTCCTCAGCACCGAGCCCCTGCAGCTGCTGCTGACTTTGGCTGGAGCAGTGGGGTGCCCCGGCGCACCCCTCTGTAAATCAGGTCTTGAAGGTCTCCAGCTGGGCACCCATAAAAGGGAGGTAGCCAAAATCAGAGGCCGCTTCAGAAAACATTGCTTCAACCTCTGAACTGGGGGGATGCTATTGACTCTCCTGCCTCAGTGGGGCCTGGGAGGGTCAGCTGGCTGTGTGCAATGGGCAGGGGACCCGCCCAACCTCTATACACACCTTAAGTCCCAAGAAAGCCCTGCTTAAGCCTTGTGCTGGTGCCCTACCCAGGGGTCGATTTCCCCTCCAGTGCGCCGGAGCTGAGGAGTGCTAAGCAGAGGATGAGAAGCCAGGTGACCTCAGTTCTCTTCCCAGTGCTGCCCCAGAACCTGGACAGGTCGCTTTCCCTGCTCTGTGCCTCAGTTTCCCCATATGGAAAACAGGGTGATATTTAACTGCTTCAGTCATGGGGGAGGAAGGCGGGGGGGGGGCATCCTAATTGTTTGTGAACTGCTTTAAGGGCCTCATCCGGAAGGCACTAGAGGTGGCAAAGTATTATTGTTAGCAGCTTGGTTTCCCGCCTGCCCCATCCATTTTCATTTAAAATAAAAATCTTCACCTGGCAAGAGCAAGGTTTCCACATGCTCCTGTTTGTTTCCATTGACAAGGGCGCCTCCTGCTGGTGCACAGTCTCACCTGGCACACTGGATTAACTCCACTTTCAAACCACCTCTTTTTCCAGTGGGATTATTTCAAGAGCCCAGGTCTAGAATATATATTAGTTTTATTAGAGAGGGGTGCCCACGCCCAGGGAGCTTGATTTTGGGGGGCTGCAGTAAGGATGTGGGGCATTTCCCCCCTCCAAGTAGGGGCACATTCAGGAAATACCTTCTCTGCATTCAGCTCCCCTGCAGATCCATCCTCCACATTGGCAGCATATGCTTGCTTGCTCTGTTCCCCCAGCGCATGGATTCTCTACCACACGTGTGTGTGTGTCTCTCTCTCTTTGTTTCCCTAGAGGATCCGGGCATCAGGAGTTATCCTGCTGGAGACCATCCTCTTTGGATCTCTGCTTCTCTACTTCCCTGTAAGTATCTGGCTTGCCCTGGGCAGTCAGCACTCCGTCCCTTGCCCCGAGAGCACCCTGACTCTTGAAGGAGCCTGGGCCGGATAGAAGAAGGTTCAGTGCTTTCCCTCTTCTCAGACCTTCCTGTCTGGTGATCTCCTTGTGCCATGGTATCTTTGACTCTAGCCAGGACAGAGAGACCTCAGGGGGCCAAATCCAGCCAATAGAGTTACACTGGGGATGGATTCACTCCAGGAATCCCAATGAAGGCACGCGCTGGGCAGTTAACCCGTCCCACTGCACACGCTAGCACAGCTACACGGCTACTTTTAGTGCACTGGCTTGATCAGAGCTAGCACTGATCCATCTATCCCGGCTGGAAATTATACCACCAGATGTACCCTGAGTCCACCTGCCAGGCCCTCCCACAGATCCATCATCCAGTGGAGGAGTCAGAGGCTAGAACCATGTTTCAAGGCCTTGCACGTACTTGAGTGTCTCTAGTATCTAGTAAGAGCCGTCCGGTAGCAGAGTGATGCGCATGGAACCGTGTAAATTCCTAGGCAGAGAGGAGTCCTCAACGGCACAAGAGCATAGACATTTACTGTCCCTCCTCTCCGGGGATTGGCTCTGCTCCTGCTGTCCCACGGGACTCTAGTTCTCTTGGGTGGGGAGCTTGTCTATTGGTAGACAACATCACATGGTCCCCTGATAGGCCCCATGGTAGCTAGGAAAGACCATGTGAGGGTTTGGGTCCAGTGGCACATTTCACACCCAGAGTTCGCTAGCCGGAGGGTACACTGCCTACACTTCAAATGCTACAGCGGCGCCGCGTCGGTGTAGACACGATCTACGTCGATGGGAGAAGCCACCTCCCCGAGAGGCAGTAGCTAGGTCAAAGGAAGACCAGCCCTGTGTGTTCCTGATGTTCTTCTCCCCACCTACCCGGGCGTAGCTCAAAGCTGATCACAGGGCACCCCAGCCCCTGGGATAGGTCACAGTGCCCCTGCCTGGGGGAGAGGGGACAAGGGAGCCCCAGCACCTTCCGAACCCCAAGGATCAACCTCTTCCCTTCGGCGCACAAGAGTCCGTGGCAGGTTCGCACGCAGCTGAGGGACAAGAAGCCGCCGACGGTGTACAAAAGGCGGATGGAGAGTGTGGATCCAGGATCTGGGGTTCCTCCTCCAGGCCAGGAGCAGCGAAAGATCTGCCATCCAACAGGGCGTGAGGGCAACTAAGCTGATGGCTAATTTTGCTGGCCCGGCCACCAGCTCCCGTGAGATCATCCTTCTCAGGAACTCAAATCCCTTTTTCGGTCACTGGAATTAAATTAAATGATCTTAATCCTCTCTCTGTCCTGCAAGATTTACAGCTTCTGCCTTTCAAGAAAGCACCAGGGAAGGGGAGTGAGTCTTTTCCAAAGTAATTGATCCTCGGGTTTTTCAGCAAATTTCTCACACGTACGTACCCTCGCTCCCAAAATAAGGGGGCAGAGGGGAGTTACTTAGTTTAGTATTTGGTTAGTATTTGCTAGCCTTGGTTTGGTTAGTATTTGCTAGCTCTAGCATTCCCATTATCCCTATAAACATCCAGCCCCTTCTGTGAATCACGCTAGGGTTCTGACGCACAACACTGCACAGAAGACGTTGGGCCTAATTCACATTAAGGCTCTATCTAGACGAAGATAAAAGAGGTTTTGTTAGAACTTGGTAGCTAACCCCATCCAACAACGCAACTTTTGTCCGAGTCTAGATGTGCCCCAAACCCCTTTTTCCACCGCACTGGCGGCGTCCCAGGGCCTCAAAGTGGCTCTTAACATCACCGACACCCATTACCATGCCCCAGAATGCTGCCCGAGCAGACTGAAAATCTCCACCGGTGCAACCGAGACCTAGGACCCAAATCTCAGATGATGTCCAAGCTGGGGAAGTCGGAGCAGCAAGGCCCTCTCAGCTTCCCCAAACAGAGATCGGAGCTGCCCTAGAGTCAACCCCTCTCTCTCCTTTCTGTCCAGGTGTTTATCCTGTACTTCAAGCCGAGCATTTTCCGCTGCATCGTCCTGCGCTGGGTGCGCATGCTTGGGTTTGCCATCGTCTACGGGACCATCACCCTCAAGCTCTACCGGTAACGCAGCCAGGGCAATGACCCATCAGACAGCACCTCCTTCTACCAGCCCTCCCACAAGCAGCTGTTTCATAGACTCCAAAGCCAAAAGGGGACCATTGTGAACAGCCAGTCTCATCTCCCATCTGACACAGGCCATAGGACTGCCCCAGAAATAATTTCTAGAGCAGATCTTAATGGGCAGCAGATTTAAAACAAATAAAAGGAAGTTCTTCTTCACACAGCGCACAGTCAACCTGTGGAACTCCTTGCCTGAGGAGGTTGTGAAGGCTAGGACTATAACAGGGTTTAAAAGAGAACTAGATAAATTCATGCAGGTTAAGTCCATTAATGGTTATTAGCCAGGATGGGTAAGGAATGGTGTCCTTAGCCTCTGTTTGTCAGAGGGTGGAGATGGACGGCAGGAGAGAGATCACTTGATCATTGCCTGTTCGGTTCACTCCCTCTGGGGCACCTGGCATTGGCCACTGTTGGAAGACAGGATACTGGGCTAGATGGACCTTTGGTCTGACCCAATATGGCCGCCCTTATGTACCCAATTAACCGTATTTTTCTTTTTCTTGTCTCAACCCAAACTTTAAATAAGATCATGCCGGTATCTGAAGGTTCACACAGATCTAACACAAACCACCCAACTTTCTCAGGATCTCCTTCTTTTGAGTCACGTACTTTGGGCTTATCACATATACTAACAACATGGCTTCAATTAAAAGCCATAATTCACCCAGGCCCAATGTCGGTCTATAGGCATACGGGCAGATCTTGCTCCATACAAGAGAGTGTCATTTTGTTTCGTATATCGTAGCACCCAGGAGCCGCCTGGCCCCCAATGTGCCAGGTGCTGTACAAACACAGAACAAAAAGGCAGTCCCCCACCCAAGGGGTTTACAAACTCGCTGTTGAGCTCCCAGCCCCATGCTAGTTTGCAGTTACAGTAACTCCTCACTTAAAGTCGTCCCGGTTAACGTTGTTTTGTTGTTACGTTGCTGATCAATTAGGGAAGATGCTCATTTAAAGTTGTGCAATGCTCCTCTCTTTCGTTGTTTGGCTGCCTGCTTTCTTCACAGCTGGCAGCCTCCCTACGCCCCCCGCCCCCATCCCCACAGCGCCTCCTGCCCGCCGGCAGACCCCGCGGATCAGCGCCTTCCGCCTCCTGCCCCCAGCAATCAGCTGGCTTGCAGCGTTTAGGAGGCAGGAGGGGAGGAGAGGGGAGGGGAGGAGCGAGGACGCAGCATGCGAAGTAAAGGGGGAGGAGGGTCAAGGGTGAGGGCTTGGGGGAAGGGGTGGTATTCGCTTAACATCGTTTCACTGAAAGTCGCATTTTTCAGGCACAGAACGACACCGTTAGGTGAGGAGTTACTGTACACCTGCATGGCCTCGGAGCAGAGATCAGTCATATTGTAATCCCCTTCTAGCAGGTGGGCTTTCCTTCTAGCGGCGCGACGGCGCAGACAAGATGCAACGGGAGGGTGAGGGTGAAAGCCACCCGGTGCAAAGGGACCCCTTGAAGTCCTAAGTCCGCCATCCGCTGGCCGTCGAAGGAAAGGCCCAGGGGGATGCGAGAGTCACCTCCTCCCTCTCTGTCCTGCAGGGTCCTGAAGGTGTTTCTCTCCCGCTCGGCCCAGCGAATGCCCTACATGACCAGCGGGCGGGTGCTGAAGATGCTTGGGCTGATCCTGCTCTTGGTGCTCTGGTTCCTGGCCGCCTGGACGGTGGGGATGTTGGAGAACATCGAGAAGAACATCCCGCTGGTGATCCGCTCCCAGACCGCCCAGGGGCTCCAGTTCTACATCTGCGACCACGACCGGTGGGACTACATGATGGTTGTGGGTGAGACCCTCCGTCCGAAGCTTCGGACATCACAAGAGAGGGAGGGGAGGGGGCCTTCAGTTTGCGTCATTGTCCCAGAGTCTACAAAGGTCTAAAGATACAGAGCCCCCAAATGGGGCAAGGTGCTTAAGAGACTCAGTGGGCTTGTCTGTAGGACCCAGGCTTGTGGACTCGGTGTTTCCAATCCCACACTGCAGTGTAAACCTGGGTTTACCATTGCTAACACGTCCTTCTGACTCGAGTCTGTGGCTTGAACTGCGTCCACATTGCAAAACGACAGGGCTTGGACCCAAGTCTCAGCAGGGCTTGGACTCTGAGCCACCCCACCTAGCAGGGTCCTAGGTCTTGGGTCCTGAGCGCTTGCTGACCTGGGTCAGACTGATTTGTGTGTGGACAGAAGTGCAGGCTTGGGCTCAAGCCGGAGTCAGAACCCAAGCTTAGTGTGCAGTGTAGACACATCCACTGCGACCAGTTCTGGCCCAGAGCAATTCTCAGCGAGGAGGCAGGAAAGCCACAAGCAGGTTCAATGTAAATCACACGGGGCCGGGTTTTCATACCGATGCTTACCCCGCTCCCTAAGTGGCCCCGTTGACACAAGGGGGATTATTCCTGCTTTAAGGTACCACTGAGAGGAGCGAGAGTGGCAGGACCTGGCCCGTGGTGAGGAGGGTCAGAATGGCCCCTGGAAACGTGCCTGACTAATAACGAAAGGCCGCGCGTTAGCGCTGAGACGGCCCTCATGGGAGACCCCTCTGCTGTTGGTCCTCCACGCCACCCGCTGTGCTGTGGAGGTGCTGTGGCAGGCCTCCTTTCAGGCTCCCCCACCTGCCTCAGCAACATGGCGACGTCCCGCACCAGGCACGGATGGGGAGGCGCGGGCTCGAATGCACCATGGCTGGGATCTGCGGCAGACGCAAAGGAGCCGCTCCCATTGTACTTATTGCATAACCCACACATGGGCTTCCCCTCCTGGTCTCTCTTGCGGGTTTGCGTCCACGGAGGCAGAGAGGGGCAAATACAACAAAACAGAGGGGGTATCCAGGCAGGTCTCCGGGGCTGCCCCTCTTTCCCATCCTGGTCCTGACGACTAATAATGTGCCGTGGTTCTGGGGATCACAACGCTGCCTTTAGAGCCACAGCGATCCTGCCCTGCAATCAATCTGTTCCACTTGGCAACCATACAGGGCATTCTGGCTCTAGGCAGAGAGAAGTGCTTGGAGGATGGGCACGGAAGAAGGCTGCCCTCCTAACAGAGAGTTCATGCCAGCTAGCTCGCCTTAACTAGACCATCAACCGGCTGCCACCTGAGCTCCACGGAGCACGGCTTCGCGATAGAAAAAATGAATGTCCTAGAGCAACGGGCCCTGACCTTTATTGCTCATCTCTCCATCTCTCTTTTTCTCCTGCCAGCCGAGATGCTCTTCTTATTCTGGGGCAGCTTCTTGTGCTACGCCACCCGGATGGTGCCCTCCGCCTTCCACGAACCTCGCTACATGGGCATCGCCCTGCACAACGAGATGATCATCTCTGCAGCCTTCCACGTTGTCAGGTGGGGATGGGGAATCGCCCTGCCAGAGGTTCCCTTCGGCTGCAGGACCTGGGGCTGTCTCTGCCCAGGGCGCCCCACAGCTCAGTCCAGTTCAGCTAGAAAGGGAGCTGGAGACTCACGTGTCAGCAATCCCGTTCCCCTCGCCCGCCAGGGCCGGACCTAGATTTTGCACACCCGCTGAGGTCACGGGGGCAGGTCAAGTGTAAGTGGGAGCTTGAGCTCATTCAGAACCAGGTCGCATCAACGGGCTGCCCTTTCCTCCTCCTCTTGTGATCTCCAAGCTCAGCTCCAAGGATACCAGACAGTTGAGGCGCACGAGCAAGATTCCCCAGCCCGTGAACCAGCCCTGCAGAGTGAGATCCCCAACAGCGTAGAACAGGACCAGTGACGCTCCCTGCACTGTCCCACCAACGCCCCACAGTGGGGCCTAGTGCTTAGAGCAGAGGAGGGGAGTCGGGATGCCTGGGTTCTGTTCCCAGCAGGAGGGAGAGGCGTTCAGAGTCCGGAGGAGGAGGAGAGCGGAAGTCCGAGGAATCCTGGGTTCTAGTCACTGACTCGCTGTCCCACATAAGGCGCGTCACTTTAATCACTCCGAGCCTCAGTTTCCCACCCCCGGCAGCACATCCTGGAGAATAATGCTTACCACTTTGGTAAAGCTCAGAGAGGTCCACTCCTGAGAGTGTTAGTACCTAAGGAGACCGGCAGCATTGCCTAGCGGGTAGCACCCTGGAGCGGCAGTCAGGAGACCTGGCTTCTATTCCTGGCTCTGCAACTGGTTTGTTGGGTGATGTTCAGCAAGTCACAGCCTTGCTCTGTGCCTCAGTTTCCCCATCCGTAAAATGGGGATAATGGGACCGACCATTATAAAGCACTTTGAGACCTACAGATGAACACTGCTAGATAAGAGCGAGGGGTTATTCTGACAGGTAAATGCAGAATGTACGTATGCACCAACTAGCAGGACAGCAAGCAACCGCTGGGGAGGGGTTCTTGTTTTGGGGACGGCACCCCCACCTTGCCCAGCAAAGGGGCGGGATAATTTAATTAGATGGGCCAAATGCTGGGGACTTTATTCGTCTTTAATCAGGCTTTTCTTGGGCCAAACGCCCATTGGGACCGATTCCCGCCCCCCTAGCTGTGTTACATCCATGTAAAGTCCCTGGTGTCAGTGACTTACACCAGGGTCCAGGAGAGGTGAAGCAGGCCCCTGAACAAAGGCAGTGGCACTGGCAGCGCAAGGAAGGGGCAGAGCAAAGGGGATCTGGCCCAAAGCTTTTATGTGGTGCCTCTCTCGGTCTGGATCCAAAGTCCAATAGAGTGCCTGGGTCGTTTCCCAGCCTCCCGGCGGCCATCACTGGGCCTTTAGCCCCCAGCCCCTTTTGCAAATGTGCGGGTAAGATTTTATTCCCCAAGGCCGTGGGGAAGAAAGACCAAGTTCGGCCCTCGGTAAATTACCTCCTCCCCCCCCCGCATCTAGGTTCGTGATGGTTCCCTCGCTGCACCCCGACTGGACGCTTCTGCTGTTCTTTATTCACACGCACGTCACCATCACCATGACGCTGGCGCTGCTCTTCATCCCCAAGGTAACCCGCCTCCGGCCTCTTCCCCCGGCATTGCTCTCCCCGAGGCTGAAACCACAATCCTGCTCTCCCTCCCAGTTACCTTTGGGGTAGAGTCCCCTGTTTAAATCCTTGACAAGCACCCAGAGCCCTCCCTAACAACCTAAGCAGCCTGCCTGCTCCCTGTGAACTGAGCGGCCTGCAAGGGATAACCATTGGCAGATGCTGCAGCATTGGAAATAGAGCGACAGATTCGTCCGTGCACAGTCTGAGACAACAGGGGGGCAATTTGTACCTCCCTGATTCAGAAGCTGTAGGGGACGGTGCAGCAATGACTGCCCCATGGGGCTGTGCAGGGGGAGACGTCAGTCCCAGCCACTCACCTTCCCTCCTCCAGCCTGCCCTGCGGTGCCCGCTCTGCCCAGGGCTGGGGTAGTGGTGCAGAGCTGGCAAGGGGTAGATAGTGCCTTGAGGGCTTGCATGTATTGCAGTGGTGGGCAATGCATTCTGGGTTAGGCGACTGCAGAGAGAGCCGGGAGGAAGGAGGACCAGCCAAATCTGTCACTCAGGTACCATTCAGGAATGCTGTAAAAAACCAGGGTATCAAGGCCTCCAACAGGGGCGACGCACCATTAGCTGCCCTGGCTCGTAGCTGAGTGACTGACGTGTTTAGCGCCAACCACGCCGGTTAACTGGTGCAAAGCTAGGGTCTACGTTCTACTGCAGGCCGAGGACATGGGGGGTAACAGGAGGCGTCTGTCTTCACCGCAGAGTTCACTCCAGTTATCTACACCCAGGTAGCTCCTCTCAAGGGAGTGCGGCCACATGCCAGCACCCCAGCGGCTGTGTCCACACCGCCGCTGTTCGCACTCATGTTGTCGTGTTAAGACTCCCGGGGGGGTGTATCGCGGGGGGTCTTTGGGCTGCAAGCTGAGCACTCTACAAATCCTTTCCCGCTCAATTGCGGGGCAACTTTTCTGTCCTCTCTGGGGCGCCCGGGGGGAATTGTGGGAAGGCACTGGAAGTTCAGCGGCAGTCAAGCAGCGCTAGCCCGTGGCTACACTCCAGAGAGGCCGTGGTAGCAGCTGAGTTGCGCTCACTCGCGCTGTAGCCTATTCCCTCTCTAAGGCCGGACAACTGATGTTCATAGACCCACCGCGCTCGGGAGAAGCGTTCACGTGTGCGGATGGGACTCGAGCGAGGGGCGATGCTCCGGGTATAACTGTGCAGTGAAGACAAGCCCTAGGTCATTAAGGAGAAAGATAGGCAAGATGGCTCCAGGATTTGCAAAGGCGTCCAAGAGGAGATAGGTGCATTTGCAGGCCAAACTCTCTAAGCTGCCCTGACAACCCCAGCCCGCAAGCAGCAAGGGCTTCAACCTGTGCCACCGCTCTCTTCCCCCAGTTCTTGCACGCCAAATCGCCCCTGCGGGAGGAGATCGCGGCGGAGGTCTACGAGGACGAGCTGGACATGCGGCGCTCGGGCTCCTACCTGAACAACAGCATCACGTCGGCATGGAGCGAGCACAGTCTTGACCCCGATGACATTCGGGTGGGTGGCACACTCAGGACCTTCTTTTGACGCTAGCTATACAGAACTGTGCAGAGTAAGAGATGCCTTTTGCAGTCTTTCTCCTGAAGCAAACCAAAAGGGGTGGCGAGGGTTATACCTGCCCTGGGGCTTTCGTGGATCTCCCTTCCCTCCTCGGGTGAGGGGTGACATCCCTCCGCGAGCATGGGACGGGGTGGAAGCAGGGGCTGCTTCACCTGTGCTCCAGCAGCAATCCGTGGGACAGTCAGTAGCAAAGCACTTAATAAGGCTGACATCTACAACGTCATCGTTAGTCTCCAGAGTCAACACTCAATTGAAATGGGGGGGGGCCCAAGTTCACACCTGTCTCAGGGCCTGATCCGTCAGCCCTTACTCACAGGAGTCATCCCACTGGCCTGTGGGCTCTGTCTGCCTTGCTGAAGACCCAGGCACGCAGCGCTGCGGGGGGAGGGGGGCCCACAAGTGGAGGGTTTTTCCTTTGCAACGTGAGGTGTTAGCAATGAGGAGTCTGGTTTTCCAAGGTGCTGGGCACCTGCAGTGCCAGTTGGCTTCAGCAGGTCCTGGGAGTGCCCAGGACTTTGGGCTCTTTATTATTATTTTTAATCAGGGGTTTAAAAATCCGGCATGAACAGATGGGGCTGGTTCAATGGATGGCCGTATCCCAGCTCCATCCAACCCCCCTCACCACCGCCCTCCCTTCCTTCCAACCCTCTCCTAGAGGAAATCCAGACACGTTTTACACCCCTGCTCAAAAAGGAAAATGAACTCAGAGGCTGCCGTACAACGTACATTTCAGAGGTTCATAGGCACAAAGGGCAATGAGGAGCCTTCCAATGGGATTTAGGCACCTCCCTTTGACAATCCCACCCCTGAAAAAACACCCCTCAAAGAGCCAGATGATCCACTTTAATTAGGGTGACCAGATGTCCCGATTTTATAGGGACAGTCCCGATTTTTGGGTCTTTTTCTTATATAGGATCCTATTACCCTCCACCCCCATCCCGATTTTTCACACTTGCTGTCTGGTCACCCTAACTTTAATCAAGATTCGCTCCGTGATGTCCCGATCAGCCACAGGCCTGGGCTTAGAAACTCAGGCTGGTGAAAGGGGAGGGGAAGTGGTGTAAACATGACTCAGTCCTGATTGGATCAGATTTCTTATCTCACTTTGGGAGGCTGTATTGCTCTCCAGGGTATGTGCTCCCCAGTGTCAGCCCATCCCGGGAGCAACCGGGCTTGCTGTTAATTCCTGGGCTCGCAGAGAATACCTAGAGCTGGGTGGGAAATGGATTCGTTTTCTGTGGAAAATTTGGGGTAGATGAAAATAAATTCTAATATGTTGGCTGAAAAACAGAAGAGTTTGATTGTGAACTACCCTCCGGGTGTCTCATGCACCCATTCTTCCACATAGCTTGAGAAATTGTAGCCAACCAGGCCTAACCGATCCAGTCCTTTCACTCAAGGAGCAGAGGCCTATGGTTTTAGCTCCAGAGCCGAGTTATTACACTTTGATTGAGTAAGAGTTTTTATATATTTATCGGTGCTCCTTTCTTTCTATCCTCTCTCCTCTGCCTTCCCAAACTCCACCCAATGTGTAGGATGAATTAAAAAAGCTTTACACGCAGCTGGAGGTCCACAAAACCAAGAGGATGACGGCCAACAACCCTCACCTTCAGAAAAAGAGGAGCTCCAAGAAGGGCCTGGGCCGCTCCATTATGAGGCGCATCACCGAGATACCAGAGTCCGTGTCTCGGCAGTGCAGCAGAGAGGACAAGGAGAGCTCTGGTGGAAGTGGCGGTGGGAGTCGCTCCGGCTCCTACAAAAGAAGGCTTCTGGACTCCGGCAGCTCCAGCGTGAAGGTGAAAGATGACTCCTCCAAGCACAAAGCCTTCTCTCTGAGGAAGTCCCACAGCACCTACGACCATGTGCGGGACCCCAAGGAGGGCTCCTCGCCCTCCAGGCACGACAGCGTCTGCAAGGAACCCCCGCTGCTAGACACCTTGATGAGGAAAAAGCTGGCCAAGAAAGCCTCCGAGAGAACCAACAGTGATTCCCTGGACTCAGCCCCCCTTGTCTACAAGTCTGCCAGTGCCCACAACCTGTTGGCGGACAAGAAACCCCTTCACCCCAAGCCCTCCCCCTTGCAGAAATCCCTCAGCGTCCTCACGAGCGCCAGAGAGAAGGCCCTGCTGTTGACCAGCCGGGCATATTTGGAAGACGGCTGCGAACCAGCTGGAGAAAAGGAGGGGAAGGAGGAAGCTTCCACTCCTGAAACGCAATCCTCGGGGCAGGGAGATATTGGGGGGGCCGCTGAGCAGGCCCCGGAGGCAGGGAAGCAGCCGCAGAGCAATGCTGTAGCCAAAGGGACTGAGAGCTCCCTCCTGCAAGACAGCTTTGACCGGGCCGCAGTTTGCCCCTGGGAGGGGGAAGTGAGCCCGCCAGAGAGCAAGACGCAGAAACACGTCACGTATGCCCCGATAAAAAGCATTAGCGTCGACAGCTCTCACCTGTTGGGTAGGGCGCCCCCTGCTGGCAAGAGAAAACCACCGCAACCACCCATCAGGTACCAAAGCTTGGCTCACAGCCTCGAAAGGAGCGAGGTTGCCCCCTGGGACTCTCAGGAGCACACGCGGCCTGCCGCAGATGCTCCCGGCCAGGGCTCCAAAGATACCGGGGCGCTGATCTACAGCTGTCCATGGGAGGTGGAGGAGCTTTCGGGAAAGACCGAGAAGGCAGAGCGGGGAGAAGATAACGGGCAACCTCCGTCCACGCCTGGGAACGGCAGGCTGCCGTTTGTACCGTCCTTTGCGGCGGAAATATGCCCGTGGGAACTGGCGGAGGAGGAGGTTTGCAATCAGAGTCAGCAGGACAAGCCGAGCGAGCCAGGAGGCGCTGAGAAACCAAACAGCTCTCTGGCCAAAGCCCAAAGCCTTAAAATCCCCCCCCAGAAAAGCTCCTTCAAGAGCTTAGGGTTAGCCATAAAAGCGTTTAACCGGGCAAGGGAGAAGAGCAGCATTAAAAGAAGACAGGAGGACGAGGGGAACCAGAGGGAGAAAGAGAAAGAGAAAGAGGCTGGCAGTCGATGCGATAAGCCCAAACTGGCTGAAACCTCAACGCTATCCCTCGGCGGGACGGCAAGGCAAGAGGCCACAGCCAGAAGTCCTGAGGAAAGCAGGCAGAAGATCAGTAAACAAGCCACCATCTGCCCCTGGGACGAGGAGACTACAACCCCACCCCAGCAAAACAACGGCGCCAGCAAAATGTTTGAAATATGCCCCTGGGAGGGGAGCGTGGAAGAAGCAGATGGGCCCCAAGATGGGTCGGCGCCAGCCAAAGCAAGCAGCAGCGCAGAAAGGGGGAGTTCAAAAGACACAGGAGGCATCGTACGTAGGAAGCTGGAGAGGGTGAGGAGCCAATGGGAATCCACGTGTCCCTGGGAGACCAGAGATTCTGGCGGAGCCGTACAACCCCTGAGCAGGGATGAGGCTAAAACGCCCCGTCACTCCAAGCTGGACAGCAAGAATCCCGAGGCATGCCCCTGGGAAACCGCAGAGGTGACAACCAGCGTCAAAGATGAAATCTGCCCCGTGGACGCGACTGAAGCTCCACCAGTGAAACAGGATAAAGAGAGAGCTCCCAAAGGGGACAGGAGCATCCCGCTGAAAGCAGAGGCAGGTCCAGGCAAAACACTGGAGAAGGGAGGCAGCCAGCGAGAGGCCATCTGCCCCTGGGAGAGCTTGGACATGGAGGAACTGTCAGCGAAAGCGGACACAAAACACACTGATCTGCCTAAAGGGGCTTCAAAGAAATCGGACAGCGTCGAGAGCAGAAAAGCAGAGGTTTGTCCCTGGGAAACGGAGGAGGACGAAGCCAGTGTTAACGCTGAAACCTACCCCTGGGAGGTGGCTGAAACTCCATCAGAGAAAGGAACAATAAAACCGGGAGATAAACTGGGTCTTTCCAAAGGGGACAAGAGCACTACACTGAAAGCAGCAGCAGGTCCATGTAAAACAGTGCACAAGGTGAGCAGCCAGCGAGAGTCCATCTGCCCCTGGGAGAGCTTGGATGTGCAGGAATCGTCAGCAAAACCGGACACAAAACGCACTGATCTGCCTAAAGAGGCTTCAAAGAAATGTGACAGCGTCGAGAGCAGAAAAGCAGAGGTTTGTCCCTGGGAAACAGAGGAGGACGAAGCCAGTGTTAACGCTGAAACCTACCCCTGGGAGGTGGCTGATGCGCCATCAGAGAAAGGAACTTTATTAAGAAAAGTTGGTGTGGCTTCCAAAGAGGATAAAAGCATCAGGTCCAAAGCAACAGGTCCATCTACAACACTGGAGAAGGGGAGCAGCCAGAGAGAATCCATCTGCCCCTGGGAGACCATGGATGCGAAGGAACCACCAATAAAACCAACTTCCAAAAGTTTTGATCTGTCTAAAGTTGCCTCCAAGAAATCTGACAGTGCTGATAACAAAAAGGCAGCGGTTTGTCCATGGGAAAGTGCAGAGGTTGAAGCCAGCATTCAAACGGAAATCTGCCCCCGGGAAGCGGCTGAAGCTCCATCGGATAAAGGGAAAGTAAAACAGGATAGCGATGGAGCTTACAGAGCCGGTTCAAGAAAGACTGGAGATATGCCAACTAAGAAGTTAGAAATGGGGGGGCAGCCAGCGAGAATCTGTCTGCCCCTGGGAGAGTATGGACAAGGAGGAACTCTCGGACAAGCCTGCTACAAAAAGCCTAGATCTGTATAAAGCTGCTTCAAAGAAATCGCACAGCGTTGAAAGCAAGAAGGCAGAGGTTTGTCCCTGGGAAAACGCAGACGTTGAAGCCAGTGTTAAAACGGAAATCTGCCCCCGGGAGGTGGCTGAGACTCCACCAGAGAAAGGAACACGGGAGAAAGTTGGTCTCTCCAAAGGCGACCAGAGCATCACCTTGAAAGCAGCAGCGGGTCCATCTAAAACGCTGGAGAAGGGAAGCAGCCAGCGAGAATCCATCTGCCCCTGGGAGAGCCTGAGCGTGGAGGAATCCTCTGGAAAAATGGACAATAGAAGCTTTGAACCGTCCAAAGGCCCTTCAAAGAAATCCGGCAGTGTGGAGAGCCAAAAGGCAGATGTTTGCCCTTGGGAAAGCGAGGAGGTTGAAGCCAGCGTTAAAGCTGAAATCTGCCCTTGGGAAGCGTCTGAAGCTCCATCAGCTAAAGGGAAATTAAGACAGGACACAAGTCGGGGGGAGGAGACAGGTTCAAGAGGAACTGGAGACATCCCAGCTAAAACGCTGGAGAAGGGAAGCAGCCAGCGAGAATCCGTCTGCCCCTGGGAGGACTCCTCTATAACAACTGACCCGGGCAAAATGTCCTCGAGGAAATCGGAGAGCATCGAAAGCAAGAAGTCCGATATTTGCCCTTGGGAAGGATTAGACCCAAAAGTGGCGGAGAGAGAAAGTTCGAAGGCGGAAATATGTCCGTGGGACGTCGAAGGAGCCTTGCCCAGTCAGGCAGCCGTGGAAACGGCCAGCACAGCTGTCACAGAAACTCCAACAGCCCAGCCGAAAAAATCAAAAAGTAAACCCATGGGCCAGGCCGAACACAAGCCACTGCATCGCCTCGTGCCTGACCCCAAGCCCCCGAGAGGTTTCAGCAAAGGCCATAGCCTGATGGCAGATGTGCTCCCCTGGGAAGTGGGCATGGCGCCCATCGTGACCAGGTGTCTCAGCACAGGTAGCAGCGTGATGGCAGACATCTGCCCGTGGGAAGCGGAAGAGGCTCCAACGGCGGCCGCAAAGGATGAAGCGGAAACCAGCAAAACCTCGGAGGCACGTCCGCTGGAGGCAGGAAACATCAGTCCCGTCCGCGCCACCCCAGCCGAAAGCAAAACAGCAGAAAAACGGAGAGGGGAAACCAGGGGTCCCAGCCCAACCAAATCAGACGTCTGCCCATGGGACTGTGAGTAGCTTTTTCCATACGGGTGGGAAACGGATGCAGATGAGGTGAGAAGGCGGCTTCAACCAAGGACGGCTTCAATTCTTAGCACAGCCTACTGCGTGTCCACCAAACCGGGATTAAGGGCATGACTGAATCCTACACGGACAGTAGATGGCGTGGGTGACAAAACCCCAGACGCAAATATCCTTGATTTGGTGGAAACGAACCACACTCTATGGGCCACTCCGGTCAGGGGACAGTTGCAATTTTCTGCCTTCACTGAAAACCCAAGTCAACTGTGATACTCTACAGATTCTATCCTGTGTCTGTCAACACGTAGCGAGGTTCCATAGTGTCCTCTTTGTCAAACCACTGGCATTGGAAAGCGTTAAGACCATCCTCAAAGCCAGCCTCACCCGCTTTCACCGGCCATACGTCCAACGCGCTCATCTAAAACTGGAACTCGCTAAACAAAGTCTCAGCCGCGAGCTCTGGCGAAACGAGGGATGTGCATGGCGTCCTTCATCATACGATTCTCCGTTTACGTTTACAGCTCTGTCTCGGTTAGCTGATCGTCTGGAAGTGCGTGGAACTACTTGGTGTGCAAACCAATGGGCCCAAACAGGAGAGTAAATCAAACAATGAGGGATCAATAAGCCTTACACCCAAAATGCCGCTCATCCTTAGTCTAACTGAGGAATCTTACTGCTCCCTTGAGCTACTTACGTTGAGGTTTGTGTTTTCCCAAGTCACTGACCCTCTCTCCCAGGCCTGAGCCCGCCAAGGTCACCTCCGGCGAGGTCCTGAGCACCTTCAAATTATTGTTGTTGAACATTTGTATTATGGTAGAGGCCACGGTCAGGGTCAAGACTCCACTGTGCCGTGCGCGGAGTCTGTAATGACAAGGCAGTCCTCGCCCCAAAGAGCTACCAATCTTAGCAACGGAGGGGAGCTAGCCAGTGGAGAAAACAGACACACAGACAGGGCAGGACAAGGCAACAGGGAAACAGTTGTGTCTGGCGTGATAAGCAGCACTTTGGGCACACAACTGGAGTCTACGATTTGAAGACGACGGGTATCGAGAGACTTCTGCAATTGACAGGCTCGGACCCTGAACGTCAATGAAAAGCCTATTGTGCAGAGCCAAACAAAAAACGTAATCGTGAGGGGGAACAAGGGGACAAGGTCACTGCGAAGATGAGGCCAAGGAGGAAAGGGAAGAGGCTTTTCAAGTCTTTGCCAACAGCCCAACTGATTACTCGTCAAATGCTGCTGCCATCTTCATTCCGGCGAAGGGTAACTCCAATGATCTAGTTCAGGTTCTGAAGCTCAAGATATACAAGCTACTGCTTATGTTCCGCTCCAGTCCCGTGTCACTCTGCTGCCTAGATTTCAAATTAATTTACTTTTAAATTCCCCACAAGGGCCCTGAACCAGTCACGCAAATGTTATGCATCTCAAACGAGCCATTTTTGTTTCGTTCCAGTGATGCTGGCTCAGTGCCTGAATGTCATTTGTGAGTCAGTGATTGTCTTTTCTCTTGCCACAAAGCTCCGCATGTCTTCCCGGGGAATAAACTAACCTTCAGGCCATTCCAATGCTTCGGTTTTAGAAACTTCAGTATTAACGAACCCCAGGGCTCAGTACACCTGGCTAAATACAATGCCCTGTTACACTACTGTCATGGGAACTCCAACTTAAGGGTGTTTATTGTCTTAACTAACAATGCCACTAACTTTCCAAAGCACTTTGTCATTCCTGGTTACTGTGCGCATCTGTGTGATCACACCCTGTGCAAACACGCCTAGGGCTACGATTCAGCTTTCTGGCACAGAAGGCAACCAAGCCTTTCCAGGAAGGGTAATCACTTTCATCAACAGTGTTTTCACTGTCAAGGATAGCGAGCCTTCACTTTTAGACTACACAGAGAAGTGTGTTTTCCTGGATGCCTTTATTGTCCTGTCCCCACCCTACCCCCGCCACCCTCCGCCCATTTTTGGGTGGAGTTGGGAGATGTTATGCCTGCTGGAAACCCAGTCCCCAAAAAGGCCTAATGCTGCAGCAGCCCGAATAAGGGCCCCTGTGCAGAGGAGGGCATATGCTGGGAACCTGAGCAGCATGGATCAATGTAGCGGGTCCTTAGGCCCTAGTCAGGAGAGCAGAAGTGCTGCTGGGCAAGGACCGAGGTGCGTCAGCAGAAGGGCGTATGGGAAGCCAGCAGTGCCTACCTGCCCACCCCGTGCCTGGCTCTAGACAGTGCCTCGTTCTCCCCACGACCAACGTTTGCTGGCTCTCCCCACTCCTTAAAACATGTGGGAATTGTACAACGGAAGGTGCATGCAAACTTCCTCCCCCTGGAACCTTCCACGGGAGGAAACGCGGTGTCTGACGTGGGCAGCGGCAGATTGACCGTGGGACAATGATTGACCATGGACAGAAAGAGAAATACAAAGGAAAGCTTTCCCCACGAGGAAAGAAATGTGGGGAGAACAGCCCGGGCCAGCCTTAGAGGTCCCTACCCAGCTCCAAGCTCCATCCAGCAGTGGTTCGCTGCCCAGGTAGCATAGGTCTGAGACCCTTACAGAGAAAGCGCTGTGAGAGAGATGCCAGTTCTACCAACTTGATCTTGTCCCTTTCCCCTTCTCTCCAAGAGTCAGGGCTGCTCGGGACAGTCGTTTCCCAGTATTCGTTACCTCTGCCACCGGTCCCGTTCAGATGGGAGCAGTGAGATCAGAGACAGCAAAAGTGAATGTTTTAGCTTCGTCCCCCATTGCGTGGCTTTGGCCCAGGATTTGTCTCCTCTCCCCTCCCGTCCTTTACGTTCACTGTGTCCGTAGGGAGTAGCAATGCCGTAGCGTCCGTGACTGTTTCAGTGCTGAATGTCACACGAGATCATCCGATTGTGTAAGAAAATGTACATACAGAGAATAAAGAGAGTTATCTATATCCACACGCAGAACTACTGGCTGTGATTTATTGCTGGGGTTTTCCCATCGCTTCTCTCTCAAGACTCTGGTGTCGCTGAAGCTGTGACTCAGGGATTAAGGAATCCTTGATGTCCTTATAGGCCCAAGCAGTGCATCGCTTGACCAGCTGGTCTGCGTAACTTTCCCCAGTGCTGTTCCTCCAGTTACGGAAAGTTTTGCATACCCAGCCTTCACTGCAGGCCATACAGAATTTAACACCGGCCTTTCACTAGGCGTGGGTTCAAGTGGGCGGAAGGTCACACAGAGAAGCAACTGTGCTTCTACTGACTGGCACTTTGGTGCAAGTGTCTCTCTCTGTACGAGAAAACATGGTACTGGAGAGAGGGAGCACGGTCTAGTGAGTAGAGCATGGGACTGGAGATCAGGGGGCTATCCCTGACTCTGCCACTGGCCTCTTGAGTAAGTCACTTCCCCTCTCACCCTTTGTCTTGTCTACTTAGATTAAGCACTCCAGGACAGACAGTGTTTGTAGAGTGCAGCCTTCAGCTGGGTTGGGGCCTCTAGGTGCTAAATAATGTTAGAGACACTACAGGATTACGCAAGGCGCACACGCCTGAAACTTGCAGGGTCTGTTTAACCCTGGAGGGAGGGATAGCTCAGTGGTTTGAGCATTGGTCTGCTAAACCCAGGGTTGTGAGTTCAATCCTTGAGGGGGCCATTTGGGGATTTAGTTGGGGATTGGCCTTGCTGTGAGCAGGGGGTTGGACTAGATGACCTCCTGAGGTCCCTTCCCACCCTGATATTCTATGATTTTATGAACTGCCCCGTTAGGGTTGACGGCCAGCGCAGACTTTCCCCTGACGAGCACAAACCCGTTCAATGACTCCAGTAAGAAAGGAATGGG